TGATCACGATAGAAGTTCCCGAGTCTGTCGAGAGGAAAACAGGAATGAATTGAGTGTCTAGCAAACTGGAGCTCCTGCAGCTGAATGTCAGAGCTCCAGTTAGTTAATAATACACTTGTTGGGGGAAGATCCCTAAAGAGCCTTTTGCTCCTCTTAACAGACACAACATGTGGATTTAAAATGTCTGTGTAACATGGATCAGGGCTCTACGCGACACAAAGCTACGCTTGTTCAACTCGTAATCACCGCTCGCGTTTCACCGAAAAGCCCAGAATCATCGATCACGAGAGATAATGTTTCAACAAGTGAAAATCCCAACGGGACTTCAGCCGCTACCACTTCAGGTAACACAGAAGAAGAAGAGATGGAGGTCGGCAGGAAGAAAGTATCTTCCTCCACAGTGCGATCAACACGTTATTGCTTCCTCCGAGCTTCTTCCTTGGTGAACACCTCGCCCTCCACGTTCTTCTTCTTATGTGTTACCTGAAGTGTAGCGGCTGAAGGTCCCGTGGGATTTCACTTGCGTTGAGAGGACATGATATCTCTGTGATCAGATTATCTCCTGAGGCTTGTTCGGTGGCAACGGCGAGCGATGCAGTAGCGGAGTTGAAAAGGCGTGTCGGTATGTCGCGTCACGGAGCCCTGACTCCGTTACGCCACAGGACACTTTTAAGTACACTGTTCGCTGTCCTGTTAACGAGAGCCGGAAAGGCTCTGTCTAGGACCTCTGCCGCCAACAACGCTGCCCTCAATCAAGACTACGGTAAACATCTGCCCAAGTTCCCCTTTAAGGTTTGAGCTCTGCACTACAGGTCATGATACTCACAGCCTTCTTGCCATTTCGGAGGCGCTGCAGCAGCAACCTGACGGTGTCTTTGTTCTGACACAGTCCCATCGTGTTGAGAGCGTCCAGAGCGGAGCCAGAGCAGCCCTGCAGGCGGAGCTCCGCCCCCAGCGAGGCCTGCAGGAAGTTGTTCTTCCAGATGTTCCTGGTGAAGAGCGGGATGGAGAGCGCCACCACGGTCCGGCGCTCCAGCAGCGTCTGGGCCTGCTCCTCCGTCATCTGGCTGCCACGCAAACACAGAACAGTTAATCATCAACATCTGGTCAGATTTAGACCCACGATGAGCTCATTTTAAAACCCGAACTGAACCATCAGCGGCGTTGAAGCTCTTCGCCGTGAACAGTGTCGGAGGATCTGGACTCAGACTTACTGGCTGCTCTTCGACAGGGTGTTGATGTCTGGGAACAGCGAGGTGAGGCAGGTGGTGACGAGGGGAGCTTTGTCCTGAGCCCAGTTCAGACAGCGGCGCCAGGGGAAGGACGACAGCGGCTTCCTGTGGGACACCTTCTGGTGGAAGGGGTTGTCGGTCTGCCGCGTCAGCGCCTTCATCTGCACCACCACCAGGACACACAGCATAACACCATTACACATTAGTGACAACACAAAGCTGCTTACGGGAACTCAGCGCAGGACGTGTTTGTCTCCTCGTCCACCGGAGCAGCTCCTCACCTCCTCTTTCAGCTGTTTGCTCCAGAAGTCCATCATGGGCTTCCGGGCGCCTTTGGCCGACCAGAGCGTTTTGAGAGCGGACTTGTAGCAGGACTTGCTCACCAGCAGCGCTGCTTTGCTCTTCTTCCCCATCCTGCGACCTTTCTTCTTCTTGTCTCTCACCTCGGACTGCAGTCACAAACACAGAAACAAACACACAACATCAACATTTCTTTCTCCGGGTAGAGTTGTTCTGATGCCAGTGCTGGAAAATCCTACGATGCTTAACTGTCTAAAATGCAGCGTCGGGTATCAGTGAGAGTCTGTGCGCTGATCCATCACCTCAACACGAACAGGACACTTCCCAGCAGGATCCTGTTCGCCACTTTCACCTCCCGGACAGTGAAATCAGGACTCACTCACTCTGACAGCTGGTTTAAAGCCGCAGTGGGAAGTTTGAAGCTTTCACTACATCCTGATACTCTGGTTCCTACTGCAGCTTTAACTTGAGTCATAAACCGACTGTCAACACAGGGTTAGTAATATATGCTTTTACTACATCTATTCTTTAACACGAGTGTTGGATCCGTACTCTGTATCTGCAGATTCATACACCATTTATATTTTCTATAGGTTGTATGGAGCAAAGACACTTAACTGTCTTTATTTATTAGTAAAATTAGTTACAAATCCTGAGACAATAATTTTCTGTTCAAACTGGACAAAAAAAGTCTTTGAGGAGTTCTGGAAAAACTTTAAAAACAGGTTCAAGTGCTGTTAAATGTCTGATGCTTTTGAAATGAGAAAACCAACCGACTAACATTTATAAATATAAATATAAATATAAATATAAATATAAAGGAGAAGATGTGATTGTTTTCAAAACAACAACCCACTGGCTGCAAACTACACTAACCCTTTAAAACACACGAATCAATACAACACATATATACCTTGATATGTTCTTACACCACTAATCAATAAATCGCGACAGTATCGATCACACACCTTCTTCAGCACCGGCGGTTTCAGCCACAGGGACCGCTTCCCGCTCTGTTTGCGTTTCCCTTTGCTCCTGATCACCTGCGCGCAGGTTTCACACAGGAACGACCTGTCGTGCACTACGGCGTCCGGGAAGGCCCAGTGCACGGTGTCCGGGGTGGTGAAGGTGTACACCGCCCTCCGGTTGAAGCTCCGGCCCTGCCGCTCGAACTCGCACTTGCAGCAGGAGCAGCTCCGGTCCTCCGGGCGGCGGGGACCGCGCCGGCGGCAGCCCGTCGGCACATCCGCGGGACCCGAGTGCTCCTGTGCGGCCGCGTTTGGAGGCTGTTCTTCGGTGTGCGGCGGCGGAAAGGAGGCCGCTTCCACATCGTGTCCACCGGGGCAGTCCACCTCCGCACCGACCGCCGGTTCGGGCAGCTCCACCGACAGAGTCTGCTGCTCCGGGGCGCTCTCCGGCGGGGTGAGTCCGCCGTCAGCCGCCGGCGCTCCGGAGAAAGACTCCTCCGCGCTGTGGGCGTAGTCGTGCTCGTTGGGCTCCGAACCGGCGTCCTCGTCGTTCCCCGCGGTGGTCTCGGTGTTTTCACTCATGCTGGACGGAGAGCGGCTCCGGTTGTAACGTTAGTCAACAATCAACAGACGCAGAAAGAAGAACTCTGTCGGTGGTCATCGCTGGTCGCGGAGCAACAGGCTAACGGCTAACGGCGGGCTAACGGCTAACGGCGAGCTAACCGCTAACGGCGAGCTAACGGCTAACGGCGAGCTAACGGCTAACTGCTAACA